ATATATATACATACATAATATATATATATATATATATATATATATATATATATATATATATATATATATATATATATATATATATATATATATATGGCTATATATAAAATATATGTATATATATCACGCCAGCTACTCACCTCCCGGGCTTGTAACGGACCCTCAAACTCTCCATTGCAATTCAAACAACGTGTCAACAGCATGTCATCTCGTATGCACAACCCATACGCTGTCACTATCTCCTTCCGCTGTTGTATCTTATTATCAGCCCTGACGTAATACACCACCGACCCGTTGTTTTGTCCGCCAATCCCCCGTCCCGCTTTAGTATCCGATTCACATTTCGGGACCAAAGGTACCGAACCTTCCCCATCCACCCTTGCCCGTACATCACTCAACACAGCCGCATGGCACGCGTTCGCTACCCCTTTGTGCTGTGTCAGGATAATCCGGCCCTCCCTTGCGGCTACCGCTAACAGACACCGCCACGTGTACACCCCCACGCGGTGTTTATCCGCTATACTGTGCTTGGTCCGACCCTTGGCCGGTACAACTGGCACGGGGAGTGGTGCGTGCTCGTAAGTGCCGTTCTTGCGGTTGCGTATCTTGGGCATCCGTCCGTTGACATTCATACACGCAGTGGTGTGCTGTGGTCCGTTGCTGTGGGTATGGGCTGCTACGTGTCCGTCTGGAAGTGTTGTTGTTCGCACGCCCTCGGATTTGTTTGTTTGTGTGTGTGTGTGGGTGGGTGGGTGCGTGTGTGTGTGTGCGTGTGTGTGTGTGTGTGTGTATGTCTGTTCGTGTGTGTTGGGGTTGGGTTGTGTGTGTAAGGGAGTAAGCTCTTGTGCCCTGGCGTTCGGTGATATCGGTGTGTGAGATCGAATATGACTTGGCACGTTGGGTTGTATTTGTATATATGTGTGTGCGTGGTCCGATGCTTGTACCTGTACTTGTGTAGGTATATAGTCCGCATCCATAGCCGAGGCTTCACTCGCGGATGAACACGCAGCACTATTGTTCCGCATCCTATTGGTGGATAAACAATTAGCTTTGTTTTCATTGGAGGTTGCACTCCTGGCGTACTGTTTCTGAGCTACGTTGAACCCCATTTCACAGCATCGCCTGCTTTTATTAGCCACAAACGACGCGAAGAACTCGTCGTCACCAATGAAGGCAGCGTCGATACCAACACTCCGCAGTTGCTTCGCCAATCCTGTTGCAGTATTCAAAATTAGTGTGGATTAATGTTCACAGCAGTGCGATATAGACATCCAGCGATCCGCAGTTGCTTATACCAGAGCAGCAATGTGTGCCACAAACACTGACAAGACGTGCATAGTATCACTTGCTCTTGCATATAATATGTGTATCGTGTGACAGAGTCATGCACATAACAACACCCACACGCGTGACATATAAACAAACAACTCGGGCTAAGCAACGGCGGTATATGCGCACCAAAGAACAACGGATACAACACGAGGTGTGGGAGTGCACATAAGCAGTATGTTGGTAGGTGCCGAATAAGCCATGCTGACATACATACACATGGACACACTGTACACGTACACACAGACACTCCCTGTATGAGGTAACTGCCGCGGAGTGTATTAGTAAACCCAGCACATGAGAATACGTACACTCACACAGATGCCTATACTTGTACATTCAATACATGAGAATACGTACACACCCATCACATGGGAATACGTACACACACACGGATGCCTATATTTGTACATTCAATACATGAGAATACGTACACACCCAACACATGAGAATACGTACATACACACACACAGGACACCTGCACACCTTCAGACTGGGCATCGCAGACAAATTTCGGATTGCCCAATGCATCTACCCACAGGTGGTCCCCACCCGATTCTGTGAACTCATTTTTGATTGGACGACAGGGTTGGTAGGTAAGATACACGCGTGTGCATGCGCACCAGTATATGTTTACAACGGATCGTGTTTGCGTGTGTTGGTGTGTATACCGACACAGGTACATGACACTTACTCAGTATATGGCATTGAAGACCCACACATTGCCTCACACACTCAGTACTAAACCGCTGCCGACGGATAGGACAGATAGCAACGGATAGGGTGATGTCACACACACAACTAACTCTGCGCAAAATAACAACCGATACAGTTCGAGTGACAGACAACGATATCCGAAGTCACATATACAGTTAACTCAGACTGTGAACCAGAGAGTTTCACTTCATGCCAGCCACCTCTACGCGTACGAACGAATGACATATGTGAGTATGTAGCACCCTAAAACCCTAAAACCCTAAAACTTATAATACCAGTGAGTATGTATGACAAGTGATATGTAGCACGCCCTAACTTAAAATACTAGTGAGTATGTATGATAAGTTGTATGTATCACCCCCTAACTTATATACTGAGCCAAAATACGCCTGTGCAAGTCTGGCTACATGCACATCTTTAATCGTTTCAAACCAGCATGCATGACAAACTAATACCTAGAACAACACACAGTATGACAACCAATTACCAGATGAACACCAAAAATGGTATGATCTTACCTGCATCTCTGATCGTGGCGGAGCGCAGAGCAGAGAGTTCACTGGCTGCAGCATACATATCCGTCCACGAATACGACGACTCTTATATGAATATGAATCAATGGGCAAATTAACGGGCAAATTAACGGGCAAATTAATGGGCAAATTAATGGGCAAATTAATGGGCAAATTAATGGGCAAAATAATAGGTGAATTAACGGGAGAATTAATAAAGCGATAAAAAGAGTGAATTAATAGGGACACGCACATCAGTCCATGAATACGGAGACCCTTTGATAGGTATAGAATAATGAGCAAATTTATGGGCAAATAAATGGGCAAATTAATGGGAGAACCAATTAAAGAACAAATGGACGAATTAATGGGGACAAGCAACGCTATAAGGCTAAACTAGCTAACACTTCACACACCACTCATCGAGAATGACACAGACACACACATAACCCAAAGATACAAACGTACCCGCTCTACCACCCCCTTGTGGTATTGTATGCAAGCACACCACAGGGTGGGCAGGTGGGGACATATTATAAGGCTATACTAGCTAACACTTCACACACCACTTATCGAGAAAGACACAGACACACGCATAGCCCAATGATACAAACGTACCCTCTTTACCACCCCCATGTGGTATTGTACGTAAGCACACCACAGGGTGGGCGGGTGGGGTCGTGCTATAAGGCTAAATCAGTTAACACTTCACACACCACTCATCGAGAAAAACACAGACATACACATAGCCCAATGATACAAACGTACCCTCTCTACCACCCCCGTGTGGTATTGAATGTAAGCACACCACAGGGTGGGCAGGTGGGGTCATGTCATAAGGCTATACTAGCAAACAATGCACACACCACTCATCGAGAAAGACACAGACACAGACATACCCCAATGATGCAAACGTACCCTCTCTACCACCCCCATGTGGTATTGTATGCAAGCACACCACAGGGTGGGCAGGTGGGGTCATGTTTTAAGGCTATACTAGCTAACCTAGCTAACAGTGCACACACCACTTATCCAGAGAGAGATAGACACACACACAGTGCAAGAGTGGGTCATGGCTTAGATCACACCCATAGCACAGGAGGGATTAACAGTGACACTACTCGAGCAGGCAGTCCAGTCTCTTCTCCGACTCAAATATTTTTTAGGGGTTACAGCCATTCGGCAGTGACTTGTGCAGTGACATCCCACCGAATACTACCATAGCCACTACCAGTGGGTAGATAAGGCAACACTGTAGTGCGAAAGCCCAGGCATGTATGGATGCATGCAAGCGCATGAAATGAACCGTACAGTACCGAACATATTATAGTACACCTTCAAAGGTCCCGAGAAATAAACTCGTGGGAATAAACCAGGTTTATGCAAGCGGGGTGACTGACGCCCCTGTGTAACCTCCAAAAAAATCTCTCCCAGTAAAAACTCAGTGCATTCATACGCAACGCAGAATTGACATACGTTAGCAACAACTACAACTACATAGCCACATGCGTTCACATATTTATTTCATCCACGCTTACATGCCTGCAAACATATATCTGCGTACACACCGAGATAAGTATAAACACACAACACAAGCATACACTAACACATCTAGATACATACAAACACACAATACACGCATGCACTAACACACCTTGTAGATGAAGCTCAGACATGCGAGACACATCCACATCAGCCGTCAACGCTTTAAGTATACTGCCGTTGGTGTCCCGTATACGCAACTTCATGGGCCTTACATCGGTGTGAACTCGTTTCTTCTTCTTTGTTTCATTTGTTCGAGTGTTCATACCCACCTGCATCTCTCGCTCCAACACGTGCTCACTCAACCAGGCGGGCACTACGGGCGTACAGCTGAGGTCCAACGCCCTGATTGGGGTTGTCCTGTTTGCGAGCTTTGGGCTCGTTTGTACCGAGATATCGGAGGCTTGTCGGCATAGCTCATAGTACAGCGGTATCAGAATAACCGCATCTAACGCCGCATACTTCAATTGCTCTTGCGAGAGCGGTCGATTGCTCCTGAGTAACGCAATGTGTCCACACGTCAATGACATCAATCGATGGTTCAAAGTGCACTATTGTTATGTGCAATACAAATATATACACGTACACAGTGGAAATACAATAACATGAATGGATGGATCAAAGTGCACTATTATTATGTATGATGCACATATATACACACACAGTGGAAATACAATAACATAAATCGATGGATCAAAGTGTATTATTATTATGTATGATGCAAATATATACACATAAACAGTGGAAAGACAATAACATGAATGGATGGGTTAAAGGTTTAATTGATACAACACTAACATCAATCTATGGATCAAAGTGAACTCTTATTTGGTATAATGTAATGCAAATATATACACATATACACGGTGGAATTACACAACACTAACATCAATCTATGGATAAGAGTGAATTATTATGTATAATGCAATGCAAATATATACACATATACGCGGTGGAATTACACAACACTAACATCAATCTATGGATAAAAGTGAATTATTATGTATAATGTAATGCAAATATATACACATATCCACGGTGGAAGTACACAACACTAACATCAATCTATGGATCAAAGTGAATTATTATGTTGAATGTAATGCACATATATACACATATCCACGGTGGAAGTACACAACACTAACATCAATCTATGGATCAAAGTGAATTGTTATGTTGAATGTATTGCACTTATATACACATATACTTGATGGAATTACACAACTCTATCATCAATCTATGGATAATAGTGACTTATTAGTATGTAGAATGAAATGAAAATATATACACATGTACACGGTGGAATTACAACCACATGAATGGAAGGGGTAAAGTTTGGTCGATACAAGACCGACATCAATCTATGAATACAATCAAAGTTCACTATTCATATGCATGATGAAAACATGCACGTAGTATGCTGGAAGTGAACCATATGAAGTGGGCAGACTTTGGGGCACGTTATGGGTAGAATGATATTTACTTTCCATCTCATCCTAAAACACGCATCCACGGGTCAAAATATCAAAATATAGACTTTGAATGCAAACATACTGGACCTAAAACTTGTGGCGATTGAGTCGTGTTTGGCGCCAAAAAGCGGGATAAACCGAGTTTCACCTTCCCATAAACTTCTGAACTCCGAAAGATATAAGTACACCGGAAGTCGATTTGAATAAATGTTGTCACTAAATATAGTCTGACACTCACGTGCCACCGACTACCGAGCCAGAACTTACGCATTGCGACGCTCATACTCCCCTCGCGCGCAGCCCGCCACATACCATATATAGATAGGCGGTCCCCAAAGGCACGTGGAGGTGGATCAAACTAACCCTAAACTCTAAAACCCTATACCGTGACATGTGACACGTGACATGTCCGATACTATAGTGCATGACCCCTCAGCACCCGACCTACAGGTACGTACAACTACACGGTACCTGCATTCCATGCGCTAAAGGTTCTACTGGGGTGTTACCAATACATACCCAGGGTTTTAAGGTTTAGGGTTTGTAGGGTTTGAGGGATTCCAACAGATACCTCAAACAAGAGCTACGAAATACCCACAGCACACCCTAAGAGTTCACTGCACACTAGCACGCACCATAACCCTACTACACCACAAATGAACACCCACTCAGATCATTGCGTATGTCGTAGTCAAGATGCATATAATATGGATA